ACTTCCGAAGTCTGTTTTCCCATTTCAAGTGCAATCTAGCGTGAGATAGATCCCCCTCTAGCTTGAGGGGACCGAAAATGACCTGTGGTAGCGATTTATGACTATCCAGTTACCAGATTACTAAAATCAACCACAACAACTACCAAGTAGTAACACAACACTATAGCAACCTCTTTTCAACACCATCATCAGCCTTTTTCGTTTCTTCGATCACGACTATTCGCGTGGATTTTCCTTCATTCCAAACAACAACAAAAACAGGGTCTTTGGCAAATGCCATAGTTGCTGGTGGGCACAAATCCCTACAACCGGCAAAGGAGCAGAAGTTTCCTGGATCACAATGCCACGCTTTGTCCTTACCCAAATGGGCTCTGTCTTGGGGGAGAGTTCTTTCCCGACAATCGGTGTCTTGCACGCGAATGTCTACGACGAAAACGACAAAGTTAAGGAAGATTGCGATCAGAGTGTTCTCGATCAGTTTTCTCTCCACATTGCCGACACTTTGAAGATTAATCAAGCCGAGATTACCCAGATAATGAAGCCAATGAAGATTTCTGTGAACGGAATCGAATGGCAATCATTGCACTCCAAGAACCATTTGGAAGCAATGTTGAACAATGCCCCAACAGCCGCTGATATTGTCTTTTGTTTGAACAGTCAAGGCTCATTCTATGACAGAGATCAAAAGCTGCAGTATGCACCACTTCGTCTTGACACGAACATGTCAGGCAACAACGAAGGATGCGAGTACAGCTCTGGGTCGATGAACATTGCTAATTCGGCGGAACACTGTTTTGCTGCGAGAACTACTCCTCTACCGGTGTGTTCCGATGATGTTACAATGAAGCAACACAACGACAGCAAGAGCACGTTGGCCGACATGAGCCTTCCAATCTCCGTGGGAAGCTCATTGGAAGCTCGAATGCGTTCCGCATGTTCCCTGGATGATATGAGCCTGCAAAGCTCGGTGGTTGGGTGCTCCATGGATGCCAGAGAGTTGTCTCTGGATCATGTGAGCACTCCAAGCTCACTCCTGAAGGGGGGTGCTTCAACGGAGTTCTCAGAGGAAACGGCTGTACGAAAGGCTTTGGAGGAGGAACACCCCTTTGGGTGTGATTATCTGGGTGCTCCCGACAATTTGCTCGGGTCAGACATTGTGATTTCATCCAGTAGTGACGAGGACGGCGGATTCCAGGAGTGGGAACATGACGACGATGATGATAGTTATGATTGGTACTGAGGAGCAGCGAAGCAATGGCAATGTTAAGGATGTCCCACGGGGTATACAGTGAATTTTAGTTTTAAGAAATTATTAGCTCACTTTTTCAAGAGCTCTCGAAATAGATAAAGTGGTTGTTAGCTCTCAGATCTATTCATATGCCCTCTGGGTCGTCTCCGTTTCCAGTACTAGTTTAACTTGTCTACTAATACAGGATAATGGTGAATAGAATCGAATGAATCATGTGGCTTATATTTAGGGTTTAGGTTTTGCAATTTCAATTTCGAAGTGCGCGTGGTTTTTATGTGAGGTTGAAAAGTTTTGTGTGA